AAGGAAGGAAGGAAGGAAGGAAGGAAGGAAGGAAGGAAGGAAGGAAGAAAAAAAAGAGACAAGTCAGAAAGTAACTTCAGAAATCCAGTGACAAAATGAGGATGGTTCCCAGCAAGACAGAAGGTGAAGAGAGGGTTATTTCTTTCCTTTTTTGTTCGTTTGTTTTGTTCTGTATTTTTGTTTTTCAAGACAGGCTTTCTCTGTGTAGCCTTGGCTGTCTTGAACTCATTTTGTAGACCAGGTTGTCATTGAACTCACAGAGATATGCTTACCTCTGCCTCCCTGAATGCTGGGATTAAAGGCATGCACCACCACAACCAGCTGTCAGGACAGGAGAGCATCATTTCAAAGGGAGAAAACCTGGAAGTTATAGGTGGTTCACCAAGTTAATTGAGGGGAATATGCACTGTGAAGGAAGTTTCTGCTTTTTGTTGAAATATAAATCTCATGATCTACATGAATAAGCCATTGCCTACTCTACCTAGAAAAAGAAAACTACCCAGTTTGTCACACATTTTAAAAATGTTTTAAGCACATTCCATATTAAAGACAGCAGGAATGAAAGGAAGAACACAGGATACCCAGAATGCATCTAACCTTCAGGAGTAGGCCAGGGGGTCCTACGCCTCTCAGAATCCCAGCCTCAGACAGATTCTCAGAAACTGTGATGAGTTAAACAAAACACTAGCACTTCAGAAGTTTGTCTGAACAAAAAACAAAGAAGCCAAAGACTACTGTATAATCCACTAAATGCCAAGCAACTCCCTTTCTTGCTAAATGAAAGACTTGAATTAAAATTAAAATGATCCCAACATCCAATCTCAGGAGAAACCATCCTTCCTTAGGAGGGCCTTCCATTCCAGTCATCTAAGCAGAAGATCCTCCCATTGCACAGAGCCTGAGACATCCCCAGTTCCGCACAACATAATGTTCTCTCCAAGTGCAAGAACTAACAGGAGCAACTTCCTTTCCTCCAGCTGTACTTGTCTCTGGCTGAACTACACAGAGGATGTCATCATGTTCAATGACAAACACAACTCCTTCTCAAAATCCTTAGATCTCTGATCCTCAGCGATGGTCAAAACAGATGTGTGAAGAGCTACCAAAATTAACAGGAAAATCGTCACAGAAATAGTTTTGCTGGGAAAACTGCTGTCAGCGTTTCTACTCCTTTAAATATAAGTGGGAATGACTTTTTTTCTATAGATATTACCAATAGATGACAGTGAAAAAATTAAAATGTTCACTTAAAAACATAGAAAGTTACCCCAAAGAATGGCTTAAAAAATAATTAGTGAAGTAGGTAGTGATTGTTTTCATGATAAATGTTCATTTTTCAAGTTTCAATGATAAAACTAAAAGTTAAAGGAGATTATACTTGAATTGAAAAACCATTTAAAATTCAGCTAAAGTATACAAATATATGTATTACAGTTAAAGAAAACTTCATTAATATGAAGCATTAAAAATTAAATTTTAAATGTTTACTGATTTCACTTTAGTCTAGGTATATACCCAAAATTTGCTCAAGTACACAACAAGGACATTTGTTCAACCATGTTCGTAGCAGCTTTATTTGTAATAGCCAGAACTTGGAAACAACCCAGATGTCCATCAACGGAGGAATAGATACAGAAATTGTGGTATTTTTACACAATG